CCTTAATTCTTGCGTGGGTCAGTGATGGACCGGCCAGAGGTAGAAGCAATCTCCGCTCGCGCTACAAATGATGTTGATAACCACTGTGACTAGGGCTCAGATGGCCGTTCATTATCGCAGGGGCAATAACAACCCTGATCTTTGACACAGTGTGGCTAGCGATGCCGCTATATTCCCACATCCGCGGCCATTTTGCATATTTTTACCTGATGGTGCTAGGTGTGAGTGATGCCGCAAGATTCCTATGCAAGTTGATTCTCAGGCCATTTTTTTCAGACAACTGCTGGGCCTTTGATCTTAAATTGGATCAGCGAAATCACTCAAGGAGACGTAAGGAGGCTTATTCATGTTTCTATTGCACATATCGACTTGAAAGTTCTTGTTTCTAGAACGAACTGCGTGCCATTTGTGTTGCGTTGGGCAACGATCTGGCCTACCTCGTGCAAGCAATAGCCCCGAACTTCGTATGGAAGACCGTTGACTTTCCGCGTGCAACGAAGGGCTATCATTGGTCTATCGGTATGTCCGCTCACACTCCAGTCATTAGTAGCTCATCGTGACCCTAGTTTTGCAATTTTTGCTGAGTACGCCTCTGTCGGGATATTATTCACCCTTACTAACTGTCTTTCAAGTCACCTGGACATTCTTAGTTCTCTACCTTCTTCGGCGTGATAAAAGGAAGGCCGCTGCTAACCCCAATGTTCAGTTGGAAATAACTGAGAGTGTTGTCGAGTCGGAAGTTGTGCTTGACCCAGGCAAAGTCTGACAACATACGATAGACACCAAATTATGACAGAAATGAACGTCTTTCCTTTGTAGAATTAAACGCGTGAGACTTGATCTCTCTTTTTATCCCAATCAAGTTGCCGCTCAGTACTTACTCCGAAGTGTTCAACAATGGAATTGGAAGCCGTCTCGGGCTATCGGGCCTGACTTACAGCTATTTGCGGAACATAAGGCGCGGATCATTTTTTTTCTAAAAAAAGCACTATTCACTAATGCCCCTCTAACTCACTCAATTCTTCCCCAAATGTCTTCAAACCTGGACCAAACAATGGGAAATAACTTTCTGCAGTGTTTAGGGTATGTATAATATTTATTTTACCCGACCGACATGTCCAAATGGGGCAACAGACAGTTTTCAGCTGTTGTCCCTCTATCCGTCAAGATAATGCCCAAGATCTCTTGGGAATCCATGAATGACTTCTCAATGAGATATTACATTGCTTAGGGTGCATTTTACTGCTATATTTTGAGGTATAGGGTATCAAATATCACTCAAATTTAACATATATTTGAAATCCTCATAGATCACCATAGTAAAACAGATCTGCAGATTTTCTACCATCCTAAGCAATGTGTTATATATCCATGAGTTGTCCCAACGCATAATTTCCGGAAACTGAAGGATAATGCTCATGATACAGGGGCAATAGCTGAAAATTGTCTGTTACCCCATTTGGACATGTCGGTTGGCTAAAAGAAATATACCACATACCCTAAGCACTGCAGAAAGTTATTTCCCGTTGTTTGGTCTAGGTTTGAAGACATTTGGGGAAGAATTGAGTGAGTTAGAGGGGCATTAGTGAAAAGTGCTTTTTTTAGAAAAAAAATGATCCGCGCCTTATGTTCCGCAAATAGCTGTAATTAGCCTCGATGGCGGCACCTTGACAGGTTCCAAGAAATGGCGCTATACATCACGAAATTCGCGACATCCTTGACATTCTCAGGCTAGTCATCTGTTCTTATCGCAAGAACGTTTTCTGCTTCAATTTTTCAACCTTATGGCGTGCTTTTATGGAAGCTTTGTAACACCAAATTCAGACTATTTAGAGGCCCGAGCGTCGTGCCAGTATTACACCCATCGACAATGTCGCCCGTAGCTACCGAAGTCAACACTCCCGCCCCTGCGCACCAGGTTCTCAAGCCGGGCCCAATCTCCCCGGTCTATCCCGCGGAGGACGCGAACTTTAAGCGCCCTCCGGCAAACACTCTTCGGCGCTACGAGAAAGCGGGGATTGATATCTCGCGTACGATCGCTTGTTCTTTAATTTATGTCACAATTAAATCCGCCTCAGAGGGATATCCGTACTTCCCCAACAAGCCCGAATTTGTACAGGACGTTGAGAAACTCCAGACGAATCTGCGGGACTACGTTGACCCCGGGACACGAGCGGACCCGGAGAAGAAGGCGCTCTTTGGGGCGGCCAAGGAAGTCAGGAACCTGTCGATCCATATTGGAGTGTGTCGCCATCGGGATATCCTTGAAATTGAACTGAACGAGATATTTTCAGACCGAAATCGTTGGACTCCAACTTGCAGAGTTGACCAATCAACAGAGGGACGAACTCGCTCTTCTTGTTGCGTATGTCGTTCTCATAATCTCTCGTGTTTGTTTCTGAAGTATTGCTCAAATGCGTAGCGAGCGCTCCGTCGTCTGTATGTACCTCTCCAAAAAAAATGCGGGACTTCTCTGACTGACTCTAACGCAGTCTTCCGCGACCAAGACCTTTCGCCCCAGGCCCAGAAAGAGCTCGGGGTCTATCTCGGCGACGGGGAGATTGAAATCCACCCGCAGGTCCCCCAGGTTCCCGGCGTCCCAGGAGTGACGCTCATCTGGGAAACCGCCCGCGAGTACCTTCTCAAGGCCCCCAGAACTTTCAGGACCGCGTATCCTTCGGGCAGCTACGGCTGTAAGTTGGAGCCCCCATCTCGAAAATTCGTGTGAAACTCACAGAACCTATGTAGGGCACACCGACTTGGTGCATCTCGCCTACCCCCCGGGTTACACCCATCTCCACCAGGACACCGTGCCGGAGGTCGGCGGGGACACACTCTGGGTGAGTTCATACCATCCAATGTGGTTGAAATAAAATTCAAACTGAACTCTGAAGGCGTCTGGATATTCCGCCTATGATAAATTCTCGCCCGGGTTCCGAGCAATCCTTGACGGCCTGAAGTGAGTTCTCTACCTAGGTATCATGCCTTGGATTCAGTGTTAATGAATTTGCGTTCGCTAGCGGAATCTACCGCTCGGCGCACGCGTACAAGGACGCGAATGACCCGAGCGCTCCTCCGCGCCATGTGAACATCGTCCACCCCTTGGTATGCTCGTCCCTTAATCATCCACAGCAGGGAAATTAACATGAATTAGGTGCGCACGCACCCGGTGACCGGGTTCAAGACTGTCTTTGCCAACCGCTCCATGACCGTCGGCATCGAGGGCCTCGACAAGGCCGAGAGCGACGCCATCCTGAACCACATCTACGAGTGCGTCTTCCCGCAGGTGCCTCTGATCTGTATTCTGACTTTGACGTCGTGCATAGTGTGTACGAGAAGTCGACCGACCTGCAGATCCGCTGGAAGTGGACGCCCGGGACGTCAGCGATGTGAGTTTTTCCTATGTTGACTTGTGAATTGAGGCTGATATGAAGCAGCTGGGACAACCGCACGACGATCCACACGGTGTCATACGACTACGAGGGCAAAGGCGAGCGGCACGGCACCCGGGTTAGCTCGCTCGCCGAGAAGCCGTTCTTTGACCCTAAGTCCAAGTCGCGGCGGGAGATCTTGGGCTTGGATGCGTAGAGTTTCCTTGCATAAATAAACTGTAATACCATTGTGTCGAGTAACTGAGCCTAAAATCCCGAAGGTTACGATAAGGTCTGAACGCGAGTGATTGAAATATGCCTGGTCGACGTCGTCCTAAGGGAGCAGACATTTTCTGTGAACTGTGGGCGTTCTTCTGAGGATTCATTACAAGATCTATAACTCTACCGTATAAAATCTGTCCCCTGCAAACTAAATAGTCCTCAAAAAGCAGAACAATAGAGAAAGACAAAGTCAGATCAATCCACTATACATTCTGTCATTCAAGAAACCCAACTTCCTCGTACATCCTATACAACGTGCCACACCAGATCAGTCGGACGCATATTGCTGCGTCCACTCGCGGCTGACGCGCTGCGCGTCCTTCTCGTTCTCCTTGTAGTGCTTCGCGACATCGGGTGCGAGGGGGTCGTCCGGGTTGGGCGCACTGAGAAGGGCCTGCACGGAGAGGAGGACAGTGCGGATTTGGAGGGCGGGCGACCACTTGTCTACGTATCGCTCTGCATTAGCGTGGCCAACGGTGGATGCTTCCTGTACGCACCTTTCAGAATATCCAGACAGATCCGACCGAGTTTGTCTGGACGGCACAAGTCAGTGAGGCGGGCGTGGAGCACGCGAAGGCGCCGTCGGAGGCCCAAAGGCTCACCAATATTGGGGTGGTATATCTTGGTGAGGAACCTAACCTTCGGAGGCGCCATCGGGTACTCTTCTGGCAGGAAGAGTTCCAGCTTGAATATACCCTCTAAAGCCAAGAAAGCGGGTCAGTCCTCGGAGCCACAAGAACGTCGGAGGGACCAGGTGAGCGCGGCCCCGGTCAATCGGGGTTCACGCCCAATATTTGGGGTGTCGGAGACATAAACGGACGGCAGAGAATGGGCACGTACGCTGGAAGGGGCTCCCATCTGGCCCCTGGATCGTCACGTCGAAATACCGCAGGTTATCGTCGTGAGGCGCAGCCGTTATGCCAGGCGCAGGGTCGGCGACCAGCCGCTCAGTTTCCTGCCAAATCGCCAGCTTCAAAAGCTGCTCAATGGAGCATAAGCGACGGAGAGCACCTTGATTATGCGCTAATCCGATAAGAATGGCGAAGGGGTATATGAGTCCTGGAATGAGCACACGATTCCAGGATGGAGTAGACTTGCCTTGGGTAGAGCCATGGGAGTGCGGAAGGAGGAGGAAGCTGAAGGGGACGAGGGAGACGACGACAGAAATCGGAGGCGAGTGGCTTTGTCAGCATTTCTTCTTGCCGCAAGCCATCACGACATCGTCCAGCAGGCTTACTCGTTGTCCCTCTTCTTCACACCATTTTTCTTTCACTGGGATAGGACCAGCTCCTCTGTACTCCTTCGATGAGTTCCTTACTTCTATGCCACCCCTTCTAGGCGAACGGGTCAGATATGGTGTAGTGGCAAACACATCCGTTACTCGTTCCGAAGTGCAACAAAAAATCAATGGAAAGCCCGGAGTTCGATTCTTCGTATCTGATTTGTTTTATCGGGGAAAAGCTTAAGTCTGGCTCATTAGAAATTTGCGCAATCTGCAAGAACAGACAGAAAGCTCTTTGTTGCGCTAGATCTCCAAATGCCGGACTCAAATAGCACTGGCAGGAATCTCAAAAACGTTTCAGCAACCTTCGGCGGTGCCTTATCTCGCTTTTTGTCAGCAGGGATGTAATTTTGATTTTCTGACTGCAGTATTTCTGGAGTTATCTTCCTTGAGGTCCAATTCTGCCATTGTAACCTTACGCCATTTACCACCTTCCAAAGTCTTCCACCTTCAAGATAAATCATGATAAGATACGATCTGAAAACGGATAAACCATCTACCGCTCCCAGACGGTCACCACGGCGTTAAGTTGGGATTACATAGACCTTCCGCACAGACCGCACTTGCCCGGACCTTGTTGATATAAGTACGCTCATCGCGCTTAGTACTTGCCCCAAACTCTCATACCCTCGATGGCAACATTCGCCAAAAGCTCGTACAACTCTGGAAGCTATGCCGCGTCACGACCGACATATCCGCGCCTTCTGTTCGATGTCGTCCTCCAATTTCACAAAGAGGGCTCCGCCAACGATAACGTAGATAGGTGGCAGCGTGCAGTTGACCTTGGTTGCGGAACAGGTATGGATCGTAGGACCTACCCCCCTCACTGATGATATTGATATCGTCGTCAAATCGCCTATCGACAGGACAAGCAACGGTTCAGTTGGTCGCCAGTATGTCGACCTATTTCGTAAATATAAAATTCCCTCACCAATTTTAGATGATGAACATGCGGGCTTCCAGACTGTGATAGCTCTTGATCCTAGTCCGAATATGGTCAAAGTCGCCCAAGAGTCTCTGCCCCATGAATTGAAAACGCGTATCGATTTCCGGCAAGGTTTTGCAGAGGACCTTAGTTTTATCGAAGCCGGGACAGTGGACGTCATCACGGCGGGTAGGAATTTGTCAATCTTTCGACATCTATGCTGAAAACAAACACTTCATCAGCTCAATCCGCACATTGGTTCGACTGGAGTAGAGCGTGGCCGGAATTCCACCGGATTTTAAAACCCGGCGGAACGTTTGCATTCTGGGTGAGTACCATCTCTTGCGTACTGAGGTGATGAAATAAATAAGACAAACTCAGGGCTACTCACATTTCCGGCTTCCCCAGTACCCGGAACTGACGCCGCTCATATCCGCGTACTCGCAGGGCACGGACCTCGCGACGTCCCTCGGTCCCCATTGGGAGCCAGGGCGTAAAATCGTCGACAATCACTTCCTCGACATCGATGCCCCCGCGGCGTCGGGCTGGGCCGCCCTGACCCGGGTATTTTACACGGGGTCGCACTACCCCGCGCTGCCCACGCCGCGAGAGGTGATCGTTAAGAAGACGATGTCTTGGGACGACTTCGAGGGCTACCTGCGCACATACAGCTCGCTGCACCGCTATCATGAGGCGTTCCCGGAAGACCGCCAGCGTCCCGATGGCGACATCGCGACACGGTTTCGTCGGTCGTTGATGGAAGGAGCCGGGGTGGCCGAGGGCGGTGAATCAGTCGTCGAGGTTGAATGGCCGCTCGCGCTGGTCATGGTGCGAAGGGTTTGAATATTCTCTTCAATCGTTGCACTGTAACCGAATCAGTGCCTCGGGGGTTGCCAAGATTTCCCAAGTAAGAGTTGTAAATGGCTGCATATATTTATAGTTCGGATCTGATCCGTGTTCTATTTTGGACTCAACGCCGTCTCAAGTTGGTTAGCTCCAGCTTGATCCATATCTGATGCACCGCTGGTCTGGAATGTCGAATTTTCGTGCTGCATACGCCGGACGTCCACGGTGCAGGTGAGTAGCCTCAGTCTGCGAATACTTGTATAGGAGTCCTAGAATATACATCACGGAACGGTCCCTGGCAGGTAGCCGCAAGGTAGCGGCCATACCGTTTCCATGGTTGTAAATCTCGCGTTTCCCATCAAACGCAACCATGCGTAAGTACAACTGACCACACTGAGGGGTTTTAGCAGGTTTTAGCATCATGTGCAACAAAAATGTGCAGTATGAGTATGAAAGTGTGTATTCCAACTTGATTCCTACTGTGCAACTGTGGATTTTGTAGCAGTAAAACTTCCAATCGGTGGGCTAAACGCACATATCGCAGCCTCCCCCACTCGTGCAAGAGAATTGCAGAGACCACAAACTGTTCCCACCAGATCGCCGCCTTGTCCAGGCGGAACCGCCGTAGTCTAAGGAGGCAATCATTTGTTTCCAAGGATCTCGTCATTCTATCAGATCTCCCGTTGTGGTCAGATCCCAATAGCCCTTTAAAAGCATGTCGCTGATCGGGTGTACCCTCGAGTCCCCTCCAGTTTCTCCCTTCCCGCCACCCTTTCTTCTTCTTCTTCTGTTCTCAGGACCGGTTCCTCTTTTTCATTCTTTTCACGCACGCAATATTTACTTCAAATTCACATTCTTTAAAACCATGATGTTCACTGGTGACAAATCCGCTCTGGCTCTTGTCTCGCTTTTCCTTGCGCTAGCCGCACAGACGTCGGCGCATGCGATCCCCAAGTGCGTTTATTTCCTTGAATTTATTTTGACTACAGCCAACCAAGAGTGAACTTTCTAGCCCTGCTCTCGGTGTCAAGGGCGCGCCTCAGCGCAGCAATGTGCAACGTCCGTCCACCGCGCAGCCGTGTGGGTCGATCAACCCCGCGACGACGATCGACACGTCCACGGCCATCCCCGCCGCCGCAGATGGTACCGTTGCCATGAACGTGGAGAACTGTGCGTGTTTATTTTCCTCCCTCGAAAGCCAGTCAATTGATTGTTGAACTCCAGTCAACGCGTAAATACTCTTTGTTCCACTTTACGCGTCGCCTTTAAAAATGGTCCGTTTTCTAGCGGAGCAGACGGGTCGACGTCCGTTTCAGTCGAGGTCGACCCGACCGGTCTTGGGAAGTCATTCGTCGCAGCGACTGTCAAAACGAACGGGAACCCGGTGTGTTGGCCTTCGGATTTGGATGAACCCCCTCTTACGAACCTTTGCAGAACCCCACCAAAGTTGAGACTGATAAGGTCGTCTTCACGTGAGTGCCTTGCGAGATGCGGAAGGAAGGCTTAAGCTGATCGTCGGTAGTCTCCCTGCCGGGACTAAATGCGTTGGCGGGAAGGCCAAGAACCTTTGCCTAGTCGTACGTCCCCAAATATCTCCCATTCACGACTCGACAATCAACATGTGATAGTCTGTTAAAACCACGGCCGGGTTTGGAGCCTGCACCGTCGTGTCGCAAGGGGCGGCCGCTGCCGCCGCACCCGCCCCGGCGAAAGCCGTCGTTAAAACGACCGCCAAGGAGACTGCAAAGGCCAAGGCAAGTCGACGTTCCGAAGCAATAGCCTGGCTTTTGTTAACTCGCTGTTTCGGAAATTCCAGGCCACTTCCAAGGCCACGACGACCAAGGAAGTTGAGAAGGCAAAGACGACTGAAGTTAATAAGAACACGACCAAGGTCGGTTCTATTCCCTATCACTTCTTCTCGCTTTTTGATTACCAAAATTCCAGGCCAAAGACAACAAGGCCACTACGACGAAGCAGGCTGAAGAGTCCAAAGAGACCAAGGTTGACGAAAAGATTGTTACCGTCGACAAAATTGTCACCAAGGTCGTCGACAAGAAAGTCACCAAGGTTGTCGACAAGATCGTCACCAAAGTTGTCGACAAGGTCACAAAAACGGTTGTTGACAAGGTTACGAAAACGGTTGTGGACAAGGTCACGACCAAGGTTGTCCTGCTCCCTGTCATTTCTTCTCGATTTTATTTATTTACTCTTTCCGAAGGCGACTGCCAAGGCTACATCGACCAAGAAGGCTAACGAGGCTAAGATCACGACTGTCGTAAAGGGCACAGCTAAGGTTGGTTTTTCTCTTCGTCATTTCTTCTCGCTTTTACTCACTCGGTTAAAAATTACAGGCAACTTCCAAAGCCACGCCGACCAAAGGCGTTGATCGTCGTAACACCAACGTCGGTTCTGTTCCCTATCATTTCTCATTTTTTTTACTTACAAAAGTCCCAGGCGGTTAACAACAAGGCCACTACGACGAAGAAGGCTGAAGAGGCCAAGGTGACCAAGGTCGACGAAAAGATTGTGACCGTGGACAAGATCGTCACCGACGTCGTCGACAAGAAGGTCACCAAGATTGTTGACAAGACCGTCATCAAAGTTGTCGACAAGGTGACAAAAACGGTTATTGACAAGGTCCAGACCACCGTTGTCGACAAGGTTACGACCAAGGTTGTTCTGCTCCCTGTCATTTCTTCTTGCTTTTATTTATTTGCTCTTCCAAAAATGTAGGCCACTGCCAAGGCCACTTCGACGAAGAAGTCGGACGAGGTCAACACCACGGCTGTCGTGAAGGTTCTGTTCTTCGTCGTTTCTTTTCGCTCCTTTTTACTCACTCTTCCAAAAACACAGGCTACTAAGGCTGCTTCAAAATCGACGTCGACCAAGGCTGTTAACGTCAAGGACAACAAGAAGGCATCGAAGAACGCGGTCGACGCCAAGGCTGCCAAAGCCACTTCCGCCGCTGCGAAGAAGCACCACAAGGGAAAGGGCAAGAAGACGGCTGCCAAGGCTGAAGGTACATCCATTCGCCATTCACATTTGTACGTGCGTTTCTGAGGGATTGTTCTTTAGCTTCCGCTGCGGCCAAGCCCCAAGGTAAGCCCATCTGCTATTCTCATTTATAACTGCCTTCTGAGGGATTTCAACAGCTTCCTCTGCCGCCAAGCCCCAAGCTTCCGCTGCGGCCAAGTCCGTCCGCGAGCTCGTTGTCCGTGCCCTCCAAGATGCTCTCGAGGCCGAGCTGCAGGCACGCGAGTTTGAACGCCGTGCCCTCGAGTGAACGTAATGGCCTTCAACCGAAGAATGACGACGTACTTTATTTGAGTATTTATCCTGCGTTGAATGTACACCTGCACAGAAGTAGTCAAGTAGTAGACTGGGTGGAA